AAAATTCTTTCAGTCATTGCATAAGAGTGTATGCAATTTATTCAAAGTCTTCTAATGATATATATTGTCTAGAGTTTCCGATTCACGGTCTACTTTTTTACAGTAGATATCTTCGGAAAAATAAATGACTCACAGAGGAGATTTTCTGTACTTTGTGCATTTTTGATAATAGAGCCCCCCTGTTTGAGGTCTTAAAGATATCCATAACTTACCATACACATCATAATTAAAAAAAATCTCTTGTAACCCAAGATTTAGAATATATTTTTTTACGATGGCGTTAAATCCGCCATCAGGACCCTTAATATTGCATTGTCATAATTCAATATAATGCAGAATTGGTTGATAGAGAAGGTAGCAGAGAAATGCCATTAATATGTTTTGCTTTTGAAATTTTCCCAAAAAAAATGCCTTGAATAATGAAAAGTTTGGAAAAAAACTTTTAAGTACGAGTAAGACGTTAATTTACACGCTTAACAAGTTGGGAAATTATTGCTGGGTCCACACTATTTTGCGGGGAAAGCATGTGCGAAAAATTTCAATTGAAGTCATTTAAGCTCTAACAGTATACAAAACTGAGAGGGGTGTTTTTCAGTCCGGTCAGATGCATCAGAACACTGAGCTGGGGTCACGACGAGACACCTACCATAGATCTCGCGAGATCCTAGATGAATCCTAGGTTCCTAGATGAATTTTTTTTATCGAAGGAGTAATTCAGGATCAAAATTTGATTTTTGTTCTATTGGCACAATAACATCAATGATATTTTCAGGATAGGTAGTGCACCAGCTGTCGGGACTTAAAAAGGGTTATTACTTACCTGAAACGGACTTCACCTTGTCGTGTGTCCTACCGACATTCGGTGACTACTGTTTATTTTTTTCGGAGTAGGTCCAATGTATCACCAGTTCAGAGGGATAATTGTGTTTGCTCTCGGTGGAATATTGATATTTTTGAAGAACGCGTATGTCGGTACGCAAAATCGGTGGAAACGCAAAATCTCTGACGTGACAGTACAATGGGCCAAGGCAGATATATGGCCCCCTGGCAGCCTCCGAAGGGAGAAAAATTCAAATCAAGGGAAATGAAATAAACTCGTTCGCGATCCTCTCTGAATACTGAGCATCCGCGCAGCTTACTGAATATTGCATTACTTTGGTTCGTTTAACTTGTGCGAGACTGTCCTTCATTTTGGTGTGCGCAGATCTGCCGTGCCGAGTAAGAACGCCGTATGAGCCATCAGGCGTTGTCAAATTTCCTTTGACAAATCACGAATTTTCACGAAAATTTTTGAATATTCCTCTCTCGATTTTTCGTAGAATCCTCAGAGACTTTAACGCAGGAGTAGAAAAGTAAACCGAGGAAATCATTCAAAATTTCCACTTACCAGGAAACATTTTACACTTCCCCTGGATTCTTAACAGCTGATCAGAAGTAGTTTCTCTCTCAATTTTTCGTAGAATTCTCAGAGACTTTAACGCAGGAGTAGAAAAGTAAACCAAGGAAATCATCCACAATTTTCACTTACCAGGAAACATTTTTCACTTCCCTTGGATTCTCAACAGCTGATCAGAAGTAGTTAAGCTTCAGTCGAGAAAGCCATTTGAATCTTTGAGAACTGATCGGTGAATTCTAAATACGGAACGGAAAATTAATATAGAATTCATAAATGAACAATAATTGATTGACTTTTGGTTCATTGTCGTGAGCACTGTGGATCAACCTTCAGGGATGAAAAAGTGTCTGTTGATTGGTATCGATGCTTATAAAGAGTAAATTCTACCACACACTCACTATTGCCGGCTAGGTCGGTCAGATCGTCAGTGCGTCTAATAGCGGTACAGGTTCAAGTCCCGGTAAAGGTGGCAAATTTTTAAGGAACGGAAAAATAAGACTGCTGAGACAGGTTTCATGTGGCCTTAATCCCTAGAAATATGAAGGCACAGAGAATAAACGATTACTAACTCTTCAATCCAAAACTCTATTTCATGGTTATGGTATCTTTGAAGAACAGAAACTGAAATTTCGAAAAAAAAAAAAAAAAAAAAAAAACTGACTCCATTTTACTAAACACTACCAGGATGTAAATCGTCACCTTCCGGCCAAAGTATCACAAGCGTCATGCGACGTTTCAAAATATATACCGCCTTTTTATTTTTCTACAGAGAAATTTTTAAACAAAGCTGTCCGAAAATGTCCCTGAATTTTCTTCATGCTGGCGATAAAATTCTGTAAAATTTTCAGGTAGATTCAACCAACTATCCCTCTATAAAAAAATAAAACGGCGGCGGAAATTTTTAATCGTCGCATGGCGCTTGTGATACTTTGACCAGAAGGCGACGAACTGATCCTTAACGGCGAAGAAACTTGTCCGTGTGCGTGGAAAGGTGATTTATCTCCGGTTTTGTTGCAAAGGACAAAATATCAGTTGTGCCCCAATTGCACGGGCAGCACCGCGCTTGAGTGACAGAATTAATCAAACAGCGCCATCGTTGCGCGCCATTCAGCGTCATCACTCACTGCAAGGGGCAACACGATCGTGGGATGAGTGCGTATGAAAAATGAACATCGTCGTGTTCCTTGCGCATGTATTTTAACTCTCCATTCATTATTCGCTCCTCCTTCCCCTCTGTCCCCTTCTTGTGCGAACTCTTCGCGGTTCATTTTCTTCGCTTTTCTACTTTACTTCACATAAGAGAAATGCCCTGAAACTTTGGACTTTTATTTTTCTAGAAAACCCGTTTTTTTAAAAAGAAAAATAGTGATTTTATTGAAAAATCTCCAATAAATTTTATTGAAGATACCACCAAATGTATCTACAGATTTTAGATAAAGTGTCAAAACATTTCTTTCAAAAATCAATTTGGAAGTGCAATATTATTCCGGTCTTTCTCCTCGTTACATAGCGCGAAGTTTACTTCTCGCGTATTGTCACTGTTTAAAACCAAAAACACTAAATTCAATCAAGTCGTGTAAACCGAACGTGCGATGTTCAATATCAGACCGACTCGTTCGGTTGTTCAACTTATACTTCTGGTTTTTTTTAAAAAAAAGTTTATGGCTGTTCATTAGTGGATCAAATACTTGATGCTCAAGTGGAAAATAATTGGTTTAAAATGAGAGATTTAAATATTGGAAAGATTAAAAATAATATGCGAGACTGTATGTATGTATGTATATTTAGTTTAGGGTTCCTCTCGCCCCCCTCCCGGGAAAACCTGGTTGCAAACCAGAAAGGAATTGGTGACTCCGGAAACGAGAAATTAAAAATTTGTGTTCTGGAGCACGAAAGTTGTGCAATTGGATTTTGGACTTTTTAGATAAGCCCATGATGATTTTTCGGTGGTTTCAAATTGCAAATTACCGATTATTCGTATGCGTTTTTTGTGTGCAATAAATCTATCCACTTCGGCTTTGATAGGTATTCCATTTTACACCCGTGCCTTTCACCGCGTCCAGAACCCAAATAACAAGAGTTACGCGGAAGTTTATATGCAAATACATCTGCTGAATGAGAGGAATGGATGCGCCCAACCTCCTCTCCAACTCGCTATTTGCTCGGAACTTTGAAATGTTTTATGGATCTTATTCACTTTAAGTGCATCTAATTAGCGTACTGCTCCCGTCACTAACGGTAGCAGAGCCAGGGTTGCCATCCCGTGCGGAGAAATAAACATCCCCGCGGGAAGAACCTGCGCTGAAGATGCACGCGCAGGCAACGGTTTCACTTGCCCCCGACTTATATATTTTAATGCTGGAAACTTGTTATTCACATGATTAGTATCAGTGCTGTACGCAGCCGGCAGTTGAGAGACCATCGGAGAAAATAAATATTACGCTTCAATATTGCCAACATCAGCTTATAATTATATTCATATTAAGAGCCATCAACGCTGCTTGAAATTGCTTTATGTAAAAGCAACGAGTGGCTAGTCCCGTGGCCCTTGCATAATTACGCTTCATCTACTACTGTTCGCCATTTTTCAGCGGTAATCATCCCGCAAGCCGGCTGGAGAGGGTCACAGCAACTCCCGGCGAAGCCTAAGCTCTTAATTCCCTTACTTCCTTATGGATGTACTTTACTCGCCCTCTCTTGTCTCTCTGCTTTGAAAATTTTGGACGTTTCCATGACTTTATCGATTTTGTGAAGTTTATAAGCACAAAAATAAGTCAGGAGAGAAATTTTATCGTGGTGGAATGTTTTTTTAAACGCACGAAATATTACTCTAAGGTTCAGTTTTTATTTAGGAGACAAATGATTTCAAATTACTCGCCAGCGAATTATTTCGACCCAAACTGTTATCTGGTTTGTATCGAATTACCAACTCAAAATCGTAGAACTATGTTTGAATGAGCTTTCGTGTGACACATGCTTTTGAATGGCCGTGATCGATACTGAACGCTGCTAAGTTAAGGATGTATTGAGAAGGATCATTCGATAACGATTGAACATTAATTTAACCCTCTGCGTGCTAATTGTTGAAATTGATAGACAAATCTATAGACAAAGAAGAATAGAGGGATATGGAGAGATCCATTGGTAAAAAAAACCTCTTGGACCAATGCCGCGGTGCATTGACTTAAGAGTGCAGTTTCTTGTCGCCGGATTTAAGAGTCTTGAACTCTTGTTTCAAGCGGATTTTGCATTGAAACAAGAGCCCAGACTCTTAAATCCGGCGACAAGAAACTGTACTCTTGAACCAAGAGGTTTTTTTTTTACCAGTGATCCTATTGGTGGAAGCAGTATGTTGCAATAGGCAATGAGGTAGACAATAGATATGCTAACGGCAACCCATGAGAGACCCTATAGTTAGTTCATCATTCTCTCCCCTATTCTTCAAGAACCAACCATTTTAACCAATAGGATCCCTCCATTCTCCTTATGTCTCCTTTGTCTATAGCTTTGTCTATCAATTTCAACTATGAGCCCTCTGTTCTGTTTTCCGAACTGTTTTAGTGTCTAACTCCAATCCATTGAGAACGATCACATTTTGTTGCAGATTCCCCGCTAGACCTTTCAATGTCACTGCTCTCGCGCTCATTGATGACGTCATCCTCGTCGACGGCTTCGTCGCCGCCGTCGGGGGCGGAGACGGACGAGCGGAAATCGCCCTCGGGAGACTCCTCGACGGCCTCCCTCTCCGGGGACATCCTCCTGGACACGACGATCCTCAGGCCGAACAACAACAACACCACCACCATCAACAATAACAACACCACGCACAAGAACCGCCAGACGCGAGGAGAGCGAACCCTCCTCCCCTGCGAGGTCTGCAGGAAGGCCTTCGACCGCCCTTCGCTTCTCAAGAGGCACATGCGCACGCACACAGGTCAGAGAGTCTATCTCGCTTAATTTTTTTTTGTTTATTCGTCATCCAATAACGTTATTACAGAATTAAAAATTTACCTAAAAAGAAAATAGAAATATCACTGGAGAAAAAATAAATATAAACACAAAATGGTTAATCAATTATTGGGTGGCTGCCGGAATCACCGTTAGGCATAACATCAGCAGATCTTGCGAATGAACACGGAAAAAAATGGATCACTGATTTGAAAATTAGATTGTTAAAAATGTGTTCGATATGTTTCAAATGTACATTATAAAATAGTGGAAAACTAATTGAACCTGCACGAGGGTGGTGAAACTATCAATTTTTCATTCTGAAATCTACATTGGAATATATTGGACACTTTTTTTAACTAAAAAATTGTTAAATCAGCAATATCGTTTTTTTCTGTGAAGATATTTTGGACTACCTTTTGCAGGGACCTCTAGCATTGCAATGTCGCTTGGACTGTGAATCTTTTAATTCAATGTGGGACGGGACGAAATATTTAGGAACAACAAAGCGAGTGCAAAATTAAGCGGATTAGATTTTAAAATGCACCTCAATAGCAAATGGCACTATATACAATTTAAAATTGTTTAACCCGAGTTTTTTACTCCTAGTTTTCTTCAATGAGTGTCAAAGACTCAGGGTGAGTCTTAGCTTTTCTCTATGGTATTCCCTAAATTTGTACTTGATTCTTTAAATAGGCTTAATGGGACAGTAAGGAAAAATATATCGCAATCCTTAATGCTTGACTTTTTTAATTTTCTTTTAGGTGAAAAGCCACACGTTTGTATGGTCTGCAATAAAGGATTCTCAACTTCTTCATCTTTGAATACACACAGGCGGATCCACAGCGGAGAGAAACCCCACCAATGCCAAGTTTGCGGCAAAAGGTTTACGGCTAGCTCAAACCTATACTATCATCGAATGACTCACATTAAGGTAAGACGATCTTTCAACTATCTTTCATAAGTGCCGTGGTAGCGTTCTTCAACACTGGAAATGAGATTATGAAACTCAGAATTTGATTACACTCAAGGCTAGCGCTCTTTCTGGGATAGCTCGCGATTGTTTGAATTGATAGACAACGGACACAGAAGACAAAAGGGATATGGAGGGATCCTATTGGTGGAAGCAGGCGGTTGCAATGTACAAAGGATATTGATAGTAGACTAACCAACGGCGACTTACGAGAGACCCTATAGTCAGTCTACTATTTACCCCCTTAGTCCATAAAACCACCGGTTTTAACCAATAGGATCGCTCCTTGTTCCCTATGTCTTCTTTGTTGATTGCTTTGTCTATCAAATTGAAGAATCAGCCTGCTGAAGTTTACTCTGAAGCGTTATTTCTAGCTCCTTCAGTGGGAGTTTACTTACTTACAGGAGGATAATGCGGTAGAGTTATCGGTGTCTAAGCGTCGGTTGGGCCGGCGGAACTGCTGTGTGACGGGCGATCTGGAAGCGGATAGTTCACGGGCAAATTATTCATTTAGAAATTGCAACTTCTCCGTTTGATTTATTCCCCTAGACAAGTTAATTACAGGTGCGAACAACACGGCATGGTGCATGGTGCGGTGCGGCGGTTAGGTCACTTACTGTGGGAGCACGGAAAACATTGTTGTCAGATTTTACGGTATTAGTCCCCATTTTTCGAAACATGGAGTTTCATGTACCGAAAATGTCTTAAATATGTAATGTGTGTAAAAGTTATGTGAATGTTGTTGAGGATTTAAATTGGCGGATTAAAATGCAATTTTACGCTTTTGATTAGCACAAAAATAAACCTAATCACTCGTAACTCACGCTTTAAGAACCTAGAGTTTATTGAAAAAAACTTAAAACTGAGTTTTTGACCCAGCTCGACCAAAATCGCTCTGTTGCATATCTTGCGTCCTAAAAGACCAATATCCTTTTTTCCTGTGATCAGTCGCGAGAACTAACGCATACCTAATTACCTATAAAAATATAACCATCCCCTCATTACAGCACTGCAGAGCTTTCATTGAGAGAGTGATAGACTCAGTCGTGGACATGTAAATTGTGACTAATAATGAATCAATTTCTAGTTAAAAATAGATGAGGTCGATGGATTTAAATTTCTCCATGATGAACTCAGTTTCAATCAAGCTTGAGTTCTGAGTTTTAACTTTTTATCCTTGAACATAGAATTTTGTGATATATTCCTCTGAACATAATCTTTTGAAAAATGGGAAAATCGGTTTTTATGTATGCTATATTAATTCAACGAGGAATTATAAATTTCGCATTAATTTCACCATGTTTTATCATATTAAGTTCATAGTAATTAATCCTCAACTCTTTGACCCTCTTTTGCATGGTTGATTACTATAAATTGTAATTTACTATTTATTTTGTCAGTCTGGCAACGTGAAGAGGGATGAGAAAGGGGTTGTGCCAGAGTGCACTTTGCAAGTATCGATATTGCGCAGGCGCCCGGATGCACCGGTGAGACATGAGCAGCCACAGAGACGCCAAAATTATCAAAATTTCCTTAATTTCACTGGAGATCAGTCACTGAAATTACACATTTGGCAACGTGTGGCGGTGGTAACGCGCAGCTTAATAAATCATTTCTCATTTAATGCAAAACTTAACTCGGTCTTCCACTCTTGATATCGTACCGATCCGCTGTTTCAGTATAGTTGTGTTGCAAAATTTGATCATAAACCAGGAAATTTTACTGATTTCCTCGAATGGCTCTGGATCAAGTCACTGAAAAAAAAGTATGGTAATATCTACTATTAGTCGACTTTATTCCTTACACGGTGATACTCTTCAGTGGAAATAACCAGAATTATCGTAGTATTCATCATGACTCTGGTGATCCATACCATAATATGGTAAATACTACCATACAGTCTGGTGTTTATTCCCATACTCGTATCACTGTGTCAAAGTTTGGTAAAATTTACTATATTTCTTTTCAGTGTGGTGTCACTGTATAACCAATGGTCGTGTGGCATACTTTTTTTTATTTTATTTTATTTTTTTTTTTTTGAAAAACAGAAGCAGGAACTCATTTTAAATATGAAACCCCATTTTCAAAATTTCTGAGATTGAAAAAACAATCCGAGTAGGGTATTTGGCAAGTCAGCGCACTGTGTCAACGTGAACTAAATTGAAATAAAATCAATTTAAAGCATTTCAAAGAAAACAATTATTAAATCCCCGTTAAATCTCAGATAAAAAGTAACGTATGATTTTAAAAAATTACAAATGTTTATTTTATCTCGTTGATAAAAATTTTATAAAGAAACTATACAATATATGAACGCGCAATTCAGTAAGCTCCTCTGTTTCTGATCCTTTTTCATTTAGAGGTGCCTAAGAGACATTGCGATCGGTTTTCAAGTATCGCCATCATTTTAATAATTCAAACAACCGACTTTAAGTAGGAAACATAATTCAAATTTTATGAACTTTCAACGTAGAAAAATTAAAATATAGCCACTGGAAGACAGTCCAGAAAACCAAAACGAAACACTACGGTCAACCATCTACGAGTAATAAAACTAACTTTTTGGGGGCACAACGATCCTCGGACATTTCGGATGACAAGATAAAGTGGGAGACAAAGAATCAGTCGACACATATACACGATGCTTCACACTGATAAGTGGTCGAATGGGACTTTGAATGCAATTTTAAAAGACTGGAGGAAATTAAAAGGGCTTTGAATGGATGTAAAATCGGTTTATAATGATGTTATGAAAGGAGAGAGCAGTAGAGAGCGCTGGGGTGAGATGTTTATCTTGCGGGACTGGCGCCCCATGGGGACGCTGAGCGTTGACTCCGGGTCACACTTAACGCTAGCCCTCATCTCTCGGTTGACTCAGTAATGAATTCATAACTTCTTGTTGGAAAGGTGGCGAGGAATATTTCGGTTTCTGATTTTTCTTGAAGGAAACTAAGCACATTCATAGCGAGAATCTTGAGCGAAAGACCCATTTGGAATAGTCTCGTATGTTTAATAAGAACGCATACGAAATTGAAAAGGCCAAATAGAACTGCACAACGAAGATATTTAACGAAAAGCAACCAAGGATTTTGGCTGTCAAAGATTTTTTTTACAATTTTTCCCGAGCAAAGAGAAATAGTCGTCGCTTAAGGATGAAGATTCCAAAATCAAGATTATTGTATCGAGAAAGTCTGAAAATCACCCTTTACTTCATATTCTCTGCAAAAATGTGCACATATTTGAACTTCGTGCTTCCAAAAGCATGTCCCAGGGCCTCTTTTTGGAGGAAGGTAATTATTTTGGCCGCATTAATGGGGTGTCTCCCTTTTCCACTGTGATTGTTAATTGATTGCATGTTAATGTAACCATTTTTGGCGAAAAATTTTTCTATTTCATGATAGGTGACTTTATGTTATGACACATACCGTATCATACATTCTTCGACCTTGGATTCATTGATATCTAGGATCGAGTATTCAAGATTTCTTCTTTTTTTTGGCTGTTTACTTTGCTATCGTTGCGTTTAAGTCTCTCCACTACTTTACCAGTTAGCACTTGCTAGCATGACATTTACCTACACAGATCTATGCTTTGTCATCACTGATGAGAATAATATAAAAGAAACTGTAGCTACTCGTAAATTAACAGAGAGACTTAAATGCAAGGGTAGCAAAGTGAACTGATCACAAGCGAGGGAAATTTTTAGAATCGACAAAACTCTTCCTTTCAAACCATGGACCCAAAACCCTGTACGCACGTTTTTATGAGCAAGTTTGAAGTTATATAGCGTCCTAAGAATGGAAGCACCTGATACCCTTTCTTTCGTAAATGTAGGGCACACTGTCGAAGCATAAAAAGACACGCACCCCTCTCTCGAACATCGATAAGTCACCCTTATCCCATCGATCTATCATAGGATGGGGCATTTCTCCGTGTTCCCTCGTTATCGAGTATGTAGGATGTGGATGTGGGTTCCTCCAAATTGGCACCACACACGATCAGTTCTCGGTGAAATCAATCGGCTCGTCACCAATAAAAAACGAGGCGCTTAATTAAAATCAGTGGCGTGGCGCGCTCTGCGATCTATCGATTGATCCGGCATTTAAACCTGTAGGAAAGGATCGATAAACAGCGTGTTCGCAACGCGCATCTCAATAATCGATTCTTCACCATGGATTCAAATGGGGAAATATCGATCATCGATCATTCGGTGATTAAAATTCCCACGGCTTGTCCGCCAGCATCGTTCTGCGCTTCCCTCGAAGGAACAGAAAATCCCGAAAACAAAAGTCGACCCTCGAGACCCGGGCCTGATCAGCTCTTTTTACGAGCTGGCTACCGGTGGCCCCAACGTTGCCGGACTTTAGACGTTTAGATTGTTGCAATTGTTGCGTCACTCAACGCACATTGGGGTGTAAGTTGTTGATTTTGGTCTCACGGTCTGTATATTCGTTGAGGCAAACTGGAAATGACGTAACATAAGGGTCCATTTCCAACTCATGCCTGATGAATACGTCATTTCCAGTTCATGTTGACGATTATGCTCATCGTTTTTTTCTTTCTTTTTTTTTGTTCAAGAGAGGTTTATTAGATAGTTTACAAATTAAGGTGTACAAAGAGGAGTATTGAAAGGCTAATTTTTGTAAATATAGGTTCAGTATTAGTGAAGAGAAACTAAACTAAGATGGTCCAGAGTTATGCTCATCGTTAGACCATCACTTTAAAAAAAAAAAAAAAAAAAAAAAAAAAAAAAAAAAAAAAAACCCTGAATTTTCCGTCGAGAATACTTTCTCTTGGGAGTCAAGAATAAAATCGCTTGAACCAACCAGAATTCTGCTTGACGTAAATAATTTTCTTCTTAATTGAGCATCTTTGCTACCTGATTCAAGAATAATGTCACGTTGGCGACGAAAAATACTTTTCTCTGTACAAAGTTTCAGCCCGCTTTTTTATCCTTTTTC